TTTTTAATCAGCTATTAAATTGTAACAATTAAAAGTATTTCCACGGCATGCATTATCACAAGTGGTAGTGTCTAGACGATTTTGACATTTCATTACTAATAAGTTGTATTCTATTCGTTTTTTTTTTTTTATGCAGCATAGCTGAATTAAATATTTTGTAATACGTTTCAAAAAAAAAAAAAAACAATTAAAAAAATTGTCACATTATTCCATTAAAACATTGTACAACACAATAAATATTATATTATACTTTTGTAGACACGCTTTTTACTTGTATAAGTGTGAGTGCTCAATGCGACCGCGGTATAGGGCATTGTCACAACAGACAATATGTCAATATTATGTTTATAACTTTACTGTAGCACTGCTATCCACAATCAAAATAATATCGATTGACGAATCACATTTATTTACTTGTTAAAAATCTGAATGAACATATATTTTTTCTAAACCGACGAAACGAGAAATATCAATCAAAACAATTTTTTACCGAAAATATTCACTCGTGCACGGCGATTATAAACGAATTTCGCGTTCTGTCGGCTTGAGAATTGATAACCAGTAACCGCCATTGAATACGTGCCGTTCATTACGATGTTATTAGTACGATATTACCAATAAGTTAGATGTCCGTCATTTTGGGCTCATATTATTACCGCGGTAGGTACCTGTGTCGGGTCTTAGCAATTATTATAATGCAGTCTGCAGTATTATTTTTAATGGATCATTTGAGGGGCCGCTGACGTGTTCACATTGGTCGTAAAACCGAAGGAAACCCCACGACTTCGATTTCGGGGGGGTTGCTGTGCCGGGATTCAGACGTTTTCAGTATTTTTGTTTTTTTCGTTGGCAATTACGGATTTTTGAAAAAAAAAATTCTTATCGTCAACAATGACGTCATCTGTAATCAGTTGTTAGCTCTTGTGATTTCACTCTACCGGGTGTGTGTGTGTGTGTGTGTGTGTGTGTGTGTGTAGTGCATACTGCATAGACGTATTAACTACTATAGGCGAAAGAATGGTGTTTTTTACGTAAGGAAAATAAGTCGCGTTAAATAATATCTTCAAGTCGAGGCGGCGCGCCGAGAGAGCAATATATTTCGACTATTATTATTATTATTTCTTACTGTACATAATACAATTTTCGCAATTATACACCACGTATTGCCCTATGGGCTATGGACTTTATACAACTATTTGTGGTGTTATCGTTATTTTCTCGCTCGTATTAATAATATTATTGAAAGTCTCGTTATCCGACACACTTAATATATTCGAGAAATAGTATTCCATAAAAAAAAAAAAAAAAAAACGTACATAATTTTATAAATTATACATCCTATTAATCGTACGAAATAAAATTTAAAAAAAACAAAATTACAGTCGATAAAAAATATATTAATAAAAGTAATGTTACAGTCTTTCCTCTCATTAGCATAAATCAATCAAATAAAATGGTTCTCTTTATTTTATGTACATTTGGATTTCGATGTCGGGACATTGCCGATAACACACGATGACAAATAGAGACACGAAATACGGTATTTACGGGATACATGGTTACACTTAAGGGGAAGCCTATTGTCAAAGGATGGCTATATTTACAGGATTAATTTTATCTGTTTTTTGTGATGTTTGTTGTTTGAATTGTATGCAATTTGCTTCGGCCGTTTACGGTTTAATGTGATCACATAAATCTTCGAAGTTAATAGATATAAAACTACAGAGTTATTCTCGTTACTTCCAGATAACGACGAAAATAAACTCTTGTCCGATTATAATAATAGTATAATATTGTATTATTGCTTATCTAATTCTGCATTTTAGAGGTATGGTATCGTCATATTAGATAGAGATTTCTTAACATTTCACTGTATTATATTGTAATGATAATTATCATACTTTGATCATAATTAGAATCCTATTAAACATACTGATTTTTGGTCACGTGACGTCATTTTTTTCAGTAATGTAATAATTAATAACTCATAATAACATTATTGATCTAAACGGACAACGGTATCGTATTATGTGAGTTTGATACCTATAATTGTAGTTTTGTAACCCGTTGTTGTCTGGATAGATAATATTTTAAGTATAAATCCAAGAGTAAAAAATAGTGTAAAAAAATATGCATGAAAGGTTTATGTACTGTAAAAACTATAAAGATTAAAGATATATACATTTCTCGACTATGTACATACATAGTATTGTGTGTAAATATTGAAAATATATTTTATTTGGTTCACTCGCACTCTTGAAACACTTGTGAGCATCGAGAATGTCTGGAGGATACCGATATTTTGTCGTCGATAACAAGTATCGACGATTTATGAATTCAATCAATGAAAATAACAGACACAACGCGTCGTCTGTATATGGTTTTAAAAAATGTAATGTTTAGTTGCTATATAAACAACCGCTCAAAAATAATATTTTTTTGTTAAGATCGCTATTTTTGAAGAATAACTTTATTTGTACTCGATGTAACCATAATAATAATATCTTCAAAATCTTTGTTTCTACACAACAGATTTATTTAAAAAGTAATGATTTACCACAGTATTAGGTCATACCTGAATGACATCTAATAATTTTTTTAAAATCGATAAACTACATTATTTTCATTATTTATAACCATTTTTAAATGAAAATAACTAAATGCAGTTTTTTTTTTCACAGAAACAATTTTCTTTGTTATCTGTTTATAATTGGTTAAAAATCAAATATGAGGAATTTTAAAATAAATTAATTGAATACCTAGTTCAAAATAATTATTTTCTGATATAATCATACTATCTATTTATTTGCATGTTAATATTTTAAACCATGTTTCTTGAATTTTTTCGAAAAACACTAAGTGGTACTAGTAATGTCATTAGTCATTGCAACATTTTTCCTAGTTTTTAATACTATCGAATATTTTGGCTGTCGAATTTTTTTCACTGCTATCATAATATTATTACTTGTAATATTATATTGCGTTTGAGTGACTATTGTTTTTTTTTTTTAATCGTTTTTAAATTCTATAGTTTATTCTTTCACATCTGTTGGCCGCAGTTATCAGAATTATCTTAGTCTATTACGAGTATAAGTGGTATATAATCTAGTACTACGTGTGGTGTGTATGCTGTGTTTTATATGGAATATTCTTGTCAATGTTGTTAGTTGTTACTTCATTTCTTGTGAATTTTGAAAAATTTCTCTTCCAACATTTTTGGTAGAACAGGACATTTTTAAGGTCGATAATTTGTATGTTCCCCTTATTTTCGAAACATTTAATGGCGTTTAAAAATAAACTATTTTTGTTTGGTTTAATTTGTTGTAAATTAAAATAAAACGAAAATTAGAACTATTATTTTCTCTTTATCCGTGGAAGGTACATAATACTACAAAGAAAACACGGTAGAACAATAATACGAGTGAAGGTTTCATGCTTCAACAATAAATAAAAAAAGTGCATAAGAACTCGGAATAAAATAATTGAATGTTCATTGAAGCAATCCAGAGATAGAATTTATTAGCTATTATTAAACTGTTAAATCCAACTGTTTTGTCCAACGTATAGTTGAGTCTAAAAAAAAAGACTTCTAATAGGTGTCGGGGATAACAGAACAATCATAAATCAAAAACTTTTGATGGAGTGTAGTATTTTTACGTAGGAATAGGTATCTTATACCATTTTCCATCAGGTCGTTATGAATTATAATTTAATTTACGAAAGTATTTGGCTACCAGTTATAACCTTTATATTTTTTAAGTCAATTTAGGATTCATTTGTATTAAACACATGTGTATAAGTAAATTGTAAAATGTAATTTTTGGAATTATTTTAATTTGATTTTTACTAGTTACCTTACAACATAAAAAAATGACTTAACACTCGAATGACTTTGACTTTAATTATGGTATGTTGCAGACATTTCTGCCTTAAAAACGTACTTGTGAGAATCGTATAACTTGCGTGTAATATTGTATTGCGCCAATTGTATGTAAAATGTATCTGCTGTGACGTCAGTGGTCAAAATGTCATTGCACATTTGCACGCGTTGTGTCTTACATGCATTTCACACGGTAAAAAATTAAAAAAGGGCTCAAGTGTAAATAAAGAAATTTCACAACCCGCACTTTGCTCTCGACAATGCTCGATACCTGTATGCTAGGTGAGTAACGATCTATAAAGGTACACCTCTCTCATATACCGCAACATACAGCGGTTGCTCGTTATCAGCAACAGGTTGTGTGTGCAGCCGTTAATCGCTTTACTTAGTCTATATATTATATTATTATAATTTATGTGCTCAAACGCGTGCAAACACAAAAAAAAAAAAAAAAACAGCTCATCGAAACGAACGAACGAAAGCCGTAGTCATGCGTTATTGTTGTTTGCCCCGCGTTAAATATAACATAATGATATTTTATTACATATTTTACGGAATAACGAGAATATTATTGGTACCTATATGACTTAGGCATGATACTATTAACCAATTATTATATTGTGCGTTGAATAGGACGGTGCGTTTTTATAAAATATATATACTAATAATAATTTATGATTGTGTGTAGTCGAACGTATAATAATAATATGGATATTTTCGATTACATTCACATGCACAATCGTATGACGAATTAAAAATATTATGAAAAACTATTATTATTAATACCGTTAAAAAAAAATTACAACCATATACTTGTGATTAGACATCATCATTAACGCACCTGGCTGGCTGGCTTTGACGACCCACTTCGATTTGCATAATATATAATATTTAATTTCCGTTTAATTCAATTACGAACCGCCTATTATATTTTGTACCTAATGATATTATGCATGTATCGGATTGTGTTTTTATCGTTCATAATAATATCATCATAATATGGTGTACTACCGTCGATTGTGTTTTTACCATCATAATTAATTTAATATTACATATATTATTGTTGGCTATTGCTCGTTCTCGCAAAGTGGTTGTTTCCTTGACCCCCGACTATATTCAGATCTAGAAATAACTCACGAAATCGATTCTCAGTTCTACGTAGCCGAGGTCAAGGATATGGTAAACATTGTCCAAAGGCTCATAGCTGACGGTAAGTTCTCGGGTATTAAAACGTCTAAGTTTACCTATTATTTTTAGTGTCTCAGTGCCGTCGGATCGCCTGCGCGGCGCATCAGGCGCGTAAAAAAAGAAAAGAAATTAATAAACAATTATTATTTTCCGAGTATTGTGCAGTGTCGCAACGCTACGAATCGTCGATCTATTTCTTTGGCGGAGTGGGGTGGAGGGAGGGGTCCCCGTAGGCCATAAACGAGCTGTGCTGGCAGTTTTCTAGTTCTTACCCCGCTCCGTGTCCGAGCATATTTAAACCGAAATTTAATGAAGTCATCAAATTTTAACCGTGTCTCACACGGCTAGTGTAATCCAATATTATAATATTATTGTCGTTGTGTAATTTGTTCAACGTCTTTCAATAACGTATGCCTAAAAAAATTTCTTTCCACCCCCCCCCCCCCTCCACATACCACCACCTTGACCAATCCACATATACCCGTCCGAGTAACAGGAAGTGCACCGCTCAGCGAAATTCAGTAAACAATATTCACTCATCGCATTAATTATCACTATATTATAATATAATATTGTGTTTTGCAATCGTTTTTGCCGCATAGCCGGCGATGTTACAGTAGTGTGGGAAACCATTGGTAGTTATTAGTTCGTAAGTTGAATATTTTAAGAAAACAATTATTTTCATGTTTCAGGCCATACGTTCAATTCGCCGGAAATCGTTCAGCTAAAACTCGAACCGGGCATTTGGTGAGTTACACATTATTATTATTATTATTATTATTGCTTACCTATATAGGTGCCTTTGTGTTGTGTTTTCATTGGTATCTGTGATTTTTAGTTTTATGCGTTCACAAATATCGATCCCTAATTACAAAAAAAAAAAACACCCATTAAATAAAACGGTTATTGGTCTGAGTAAACGATTGTGTTACTTTTCTTAGACGCTATTGTTGTGACATAACATAGGAATATTATTATCGGGTGTTGTAATACTATCAATTTATTATAATATGACTCATGAAAATAGATTTAAATTGTCCATTTTGATAGGTATGTACTATTTATACGTAATAAGAGCCCAGAGGTCATTTCGTTCATTATTTATTTTTAATAACCGTATTCAGTGTTGTAACTAGTATTTTTGGACCCTAGAGTAACTGAGGTTACAATTCAATTCTCGTATCAAAACAGTAAGGTTTGTGCGCTTGTAAATATATTTGTAACTCGAATAGAACCAATGAGTCAGGGTGTCCCCTCCCCCCGCCTCCGCAATCATCGAAGATCCAAGCATTATCTGGGTTTGAAAATGATCTCAATGGCACCTTTATGTCATTGCTAAAGACTCTAACAAACAGTCAAATTTTTATTTATTACGATTTAAAAATAAAGTTTTGTTGAAACAAAATTAGTTGTGGGTTAATCACATTTGATGTAAACTTCGTTGTGATTATTATTATGTCGGTAAGATAACTATTTTCTCATTTATGTGTTAAGCCTTTAAAAAAAAAATACATTTCAATTTGAACTGTGTGTTTTTACTTTATGTAATATAGTGATCGGATTGTTATTTATTAGCACAGTTTTGACGGTGAGCTGGTTACGTGACCATTCCTTGTAGACTTTTAGTTGTATAATCGTTATTTTTTTCAATTCGTGTACATGTAATGCACATAAAGGTTATATTATGGATTATGAACGGTTGGAAAAAAAATTATATCTTAGTAATAAATTGCCGTCCGCCGCCAACAGAGACTTATAAATCGATCCTAGTCGGCTCAACCGATTATAATTAGATAAATATAATATTCGTAAAACCATTGCCGCCGTTATACACATAAATATCAATCGATATCATTTTAATTTATAGGTACTCGATATTAGACAACGTTTTCAAACACATGTTGGACTGTCGGACGGAAATCGTCACCCTTGCTCTGGCACAACGTGTGCGTTTTTGTTTTTTTTTTTTTGTTATCCTCGTTAGCTTGTTATATCGAACACGGCACAAAGATCATAAATCATAATTTAAGATCTACCCATAAATGTTTTTTTTTTATGTACATATTTCCATGCACATGCTTGTCCGCCGATATATATTGCGCTGTCTCCGTGTCGTCGATTCGTAATCCTGAGGTTATCGACGTTCCGTTTTTAGTCGCGATAAGCCACAATCGCCTATTATATTATAAATATATTTTTAAATAATTACTATAAAATTATAACATGGGAGGGGAAAGGGACCATGAGAAAAATATGTGTGCGTGTAACTTTTTAAATAATGCACGTGAGAAATTCTACTTATTTTCGCACCCTCTCCCAACAGTTTTTAATTGCACCTGTATTATAGGTAAGTAGTGAAATGAAACATCAACGACGTTATATTGTGTTAAGTGTTCATAATTAAACTCGAACTTACGGTAATCGATATTGCGAGAGGAAAAAACTAGCACCTTGAGGCGTTTGTTGTTTTTTTTTTTTTTTACTAATTTAGAACTCTATAGGTACCTACTGTCGTTGTAAATACCAAGCGCACGTGTACGTGACGTTGACATCAGTCACCTATAATACTGCACTGCTATATATTTTCCGTTATCCTTTGGCAATTCATATAATAAGTCTACTGCCTACTCTTGTTTATAAACAACGTAATATTTCCCTATGCATATATAAGGGCGTAGAACAATTAAATATTAATTTTAAAAGATAACGCCATTTGCCCAAATTGTATATTGTACTGCATGGCTACATTGTACTTACTACTTACGTATTATTTCTGGGACGTTTCCGACAAATGACAATATTTCATATTTTCATATATTGTGTTCGTGCATTGTACAACAATAAACAGGTCTCATTACGAACATACCTGCTGCGCAAACACAAGCGTGAATAGGTAGTACGACTATAAAAAAAATAAACCGTATTTTTCGATGAGGGAACAGTTATATACGATTAAGTATCGTCTGTTTTTACTACCACACGTAGGTAATAAGTACATAATATATATTATTTCTAAACATTTAATTTATTTTAATTTTATGGTCATGGTGTGATGTTTAAACACAACGTTCTCATAATATGTGTTTTATTGGATGTATTCGTTTTACTTATTCTTCTTCTTCTAAAATAAATAAAATGTTAGATATTATTGTGGTTTATTTAAAATATGAGTTTAATAATATCATATAAATAACCAGTTGCCAATCTGTATGGGATTTTGTAAGTAAATCATTATATTATTATTATTCACATTATATTGATTCGACACCGAGGTTATCGGTTATAAGTGCGGTACGGATGTTTCACATTTAATTTTTTTGTTGGATAGCGGGATAAGATAAATCAACCTATTTTAAAATGGTTCTAAATCTTAACACATGTTACGAACCTGAATTACAATATTTTATTCTTAAAAATAAATGACCTCACGAGATCGGTTTTTTCGATTATGTACTAAACTATATTTTAAAGTAGTTCTTTTCCCAAGTGTTTTGAAATTATTTTTTCGATTCTAGTTCATCGATGTTCGTGGCAATATTGTTTGTTTTCCAAAAATTAAAATCGTAACCTAAGACAAAAGTAAAGCCGCATACTTTCGAATTCAAAATAACGTTTAAAAAATTGTAGAGGCCAAAGACGGTATTATAAAATAAAAATTATTACTTACTGTAATTGCATATTTCATTTATTAATTTATTATAATTGGCTTTTTTATGATAACAATTACTTTGATATGAAATATGTTCCATAATATACTGGTTTTAATGTGTTTTAATCTGACAGGTTTTCAATTTGATAACGTCAATTATTTGAAATATAAAATTATCTTTATGTGTTAGGAAGAACGAACATAAATCTTTGAAGATATTTAAGACATTAATCAATAACTTGTATTATGTACCTATAAGTATTTGAACGGCTAAACCCGAGTTTTTCTTATAACGTTATTTTATTATTATTGTTACTTCACCATTCCAGTATTTCTGTAGTCTGTATACCTATAAAGTTAGATGAAAAATTTTCCAAAAAAAAAATGTTTTATTATTTTGTATATGCCTCCTAATCGTTCTACTTCCAGCATTAAATGTAATTAAAATGATAATTTAATTTGTATATAATTAGTAATTACTGTTATTTGAACGTTTCGTAAAAAGATAATGATTTGATTTTGTGTAAATACTCCTGAATAATAATATGTCAGTTACGATTTCGTGTCTTTCATCAAATTATCATTTTGATGATTGGATACTGTGCTAAGTGCTTATTATATTCTTCCACGAACTGGAATCTATTAGACAAGCAAAGATAACTTTTGAAAATGTTCCTGTAACATAATTTATTTATACTGTACAAATATTTAAGAATACGGTATATTTGATATATTGTTATCTGTGAATGTTATTAAATCGATTTTAATGCGAATGAGTAAACGAATACTGTGTGTAAACGGCGAGACGTGCCTATTCAATACTTTTTCGAGCCTCCATTTTTTAAGTTTTTAAAAACACTTATTAATATAATAGTACGATATCTTATGATAATTATTTATAATTGCGCCGACGACGGTTCTCGAAGAGCAAACGTTGTTCTCGAGATATTGCCTCGACGTTATTATAACTATTTTTTTTTTCTCCTAGTAGATTCATTCTACTTATGCGCACACGGCATTTACGCCTAGTCGTGTGCACCTATTTGTCATAGAACATAATAATATTATAATAATTATGATTTATATTATCGTGAAACTCGTCGCCGCCAACAAGTGTGTGCGTGCTCGCATTCAGCAGCCTGCAGTAGCGCCGCGATCACACATACACACAAAGTAATTTTGACAGTTTATTACACACGGCGTAGTTGTACATATTTTTCGGTTTTGGTTTTTTTTTCCTCGCCCGTCTAATTATTATTATTATAATAATAATAATAATAATATAATACACTGCTGTTGTGTATCACTGTGTAAGTAAAAAATTAATTCTCCTAACGTGCGCGTGTGTCGCACAAACTCTTCGCACACTAACGCGATCGAGTACACGAGGCGAAAACAATACCTACACACGCACTAACACACTCTTGACTTATGGCGTTGACACGGGCGCAGACGATAAAAAAATAAAAAATAAAAAATACCTTGTGTTCTCGCTCCGTCTCTGTCTCTCCCCCGCGCTTATTGTTTTATTTCATTTTTCACTCCTCGAACGCGCGCTCGAGTTATGGTGTCCCTGAAAAAAAAAACGCATATACACGCGCACACACACACACACACACACACACACACACACACACACACACACACACACACACACACACGATATTATAGGTACCTACCTATATTACACTTAATATTTTTTAATATAGACATCGTCGAGGAGAGTTTAGACGACATACCTACTTATAATAATAATGTGATTATGTTTTTTCTTATCTCGTTCGAGTGTTGTTTTTTACAATTCACGGCCGGTATTAGATAAATGTCCCCGGATCGGTCTCGAAAAAAAAAATCATCATAATTTTAGTTTCATGGAGATAGATAGGTAATCGCTTGTAATGTTTTGTTGTATGCATTATTCATCATGGCGTCGTCGTCGTCGTCGATATTTACGCTGTAATAGTATTATTACCTATCGTTTATCATCAATAGTATAATTTTTTATAATGCATTGGTGGAGACTTTCGATGTTGTCCCCGATTTGAATTTCCGATTGCGACCTGCACTACGATTACGGCCGTTGGGCAAAGGTCGAAGGTTGTAAATAGGTTATGAAAAATGCATATTTCTACCAACTTCCCGTCGTCCGACTACTTATACCTATCTCTCTTCCCGCTTTTCCGTTGCGTCTTCGTTTCGTAATTGGGTTATCAATGGTCGGTTCGCCCTCCGCGCACATGACGTGTTTCATTGCTTTCTGATTCGTTTTTTTTTTCTGAATCGGTTTTTTTTTTAAAAAATTTATCCATAATAATATACTTAATATGTCACATAAACTTAATGTCTGACTATTAATGTTTTGCCGACGGACAACACGTTATGATGCAAATGCCTCTTTTTTTTTTTAACTCGACAGCATTTAATAGGTACCTTAATATATACAGTATACTCGCCAGGCGTATTCTATAAAATAATTGATCGTCGATAATTAACAATAATAATCACTACGACACTCTCACGAGCACGGATCTCGGGCAATTACCGTTTTATATCATAATATATATTCCATTTGAGTTTTCGGTATCACCTCAATGACTCTTCTCACTTGTGTAATAATCTATGACGTACCTTGTTGTTTTTGTTTACAATTAAAATAATATATATATAGATATTTTTTTTTATTGAACCATTTACTAAGAGTAATTTTTCTTTTTTTATTGTTTTTTCTTTATTTCAAAACGATAACAACGTAATTTATAATTTAAACAACTCTTCAATAACTTTCTGCTTCAATTGCTATATAATATTATTACCTCGTGGCTATCTTGGAATATTTTTTTAAACATTGCATTACATAAAAGTTTTGTGATTTTATGCACCACACATGTTATGTAGAAACTATCTTGTGTGTGTAAACTATACTATGGTCTATGGCACAGAAATATATACATTTAGATATTTAAATTATATTCAAAAAATCTCTTTATTGGGCGAATACTTGATTTCTCTTAGTGGGTATCAGATGGATATCGTACATTAAACTTGTTTTTATTTTAACTTGGTAACAAATATATTATGATTTATACAATTATATTGGATATGTTATGTGTATCTACTAGCATAATTTAAATTGTATTATTGATTTGATTTTATAGGTTGACAGTTCAAAAACAATCATTGTTTCACCAATTCGATTAACTCTGATTTTTCTCAATAGCTTATGATTTTTAATTACATTTCAAAAGGGTTCAGTATAATTTTTCGATATTACTTACTACACCAATTAATCAATGAAATATAAAACAATTTTGATTAATTTCTAGCTTTTAATTTTAATGTTAATTGGTCCAATGCTTTCACTTTAATATACCGTATAGAGACAAATTTTATCTGAACCAGAAAAGAATCTTATTTTTGTTGTGAATTAAATGAGGTTTTTACTCATTTTTATTTGTTTTTTTGATTTTGATTTACTTTTTTTGGTTGAACATTTATAATAGGTTTTGATGGCTGCCTAACTTCCTAAGTCCTAATTAAGCCCTCGAAAAATGTTAATTGATGGCCCCACATTAAATTATGGGTCCAACTATTATCATCATCAACAAATCTAACTACTATGTATTTTGTTTTTATTTATAGTTGGAAAAATGAAGAAGTAGATAACAATTGTGTAGTCAGAGCTAGAGGTCTTCCGTGGCAATCATCTGATCAAGACATAGCCAAGTTCTTTCGTGGTCTTAATATAGCCAAGTATGTTCAGTTAGAAATTAAAACCTTTATGCATGAGCTAATGGTTCCTTAAACATAATTTAGTAGCGAATTATTGCTAAATTAAATTTTGGAGAACCATTTATCAATTTTTTCTGCAACTCAGTATCTTAAATAAACTGATTTTTACCATGCATAATACATTTTATTTTTGCAGAGGTGGTGTTGCATTGTGTTTAAGTGCACATGGTCGTCGTAACGGTGAAGCAGTCGTACGTTTTGTGAATCAAGAGCATAGAGACATGGCTATGAAAAGACATAAGCACCATATTGGTAGCCGTTATATTGAAGTATACAAAGCCAATGGCGAAGACTTCATAAATGTTGCTGGAGGTATGTTGAACTAAAGAAGTTTTATGTAATAAAATAAGAAATTATTTTATTTTAAATATTTTTTTGTTCTTGCAGGTAATAGTAGTGAAGCACAAACTTTCCTCACTAAGGGTGCCCAAGTAATTGTGCGCATGAGGGGTTTACCTTATGATTGTACAGCTAAAGATGTCGTAAGTTTCAAATATTTAGTTTAGAAACATAAACTGTACAAACTGTACTATTGCTTTAATGATTATATTTTTTACATAAATATTAGATTACTTTCTTTGAAAATGGTGAGCAGACTTGTTCCGTAATGGATGGAGAAGATGGTGTTTTATTTGTTAAAAAACCTGATGGACGTGCAACTGGTGATGCGTTTGTCCTATTTGCTGATGAAGATGATGCTCCTAAAGCACTTAGTAAGCACAGAGACCTAATAGGCACGAGGTACATTGAACTATTTAGGAGTACAACAGCTGAAGTACAACAGGTAATAATATTTCAAACATCTTAATATAATTAATACAAAAAAAAAATGTTTTTCTAGAAGAAAAATTAACAATTTTTATTAGAATAAATATACTTACCAATTGTATGTGATTTTTAATTCAAAATTGTTCATTTGATTATACATATATCACAATGAAATAACATAAGTATTCATGTAAACATGATCATGTCATTGTTTTTGCTTTTATTTTTCTAAAATATTTTTTGAAGGTTTTGAATCGTGCAATGGATCCATCTGTACGATCAACAGCTAGTGATAGCAATGGCAACATTACTACCCCAGTTACAACAACTGCTGGTGTGAATAATTCACCTACTGCACTTCTTGGGCATGTGCCACTTATGCCATTGCCTCAGCACGTCATCACTAGTGGCACACGAAAAGACTGTATACGCTTACGTGGACTTCCATATGAAGCAAATGTAGAACATATACTTGAGTTCCTTGGTGAACATTCCAAAAATATTGTATTCCAAGGTGTACATATGGTTTACAACTCTGTGGTGAGTAACATGGATAATAATATAACTTATAGAGGTGAAAATGGAAAAATAGAACTAAACAATTGTATGCTTTGCTTTGAACTAAAAATAATTAGTCACTTTAAAACTATTTGACTATTCGATATTTTTTGTATGCCTATGTATACATAATATTCATACTTGTATATAATAGTATTGTATTCAGTTTTTTTATATAACGTGTATTATTTAAATTTTGAATACTGTCTTCCCTAGGGTCATGCATCTGGTGAAGCATTCATTCAAATGAACAACGAGGGCAGTGCTGCTCAGGCAGCAATGGCTAAACACCACAATTATATGTCTTTTGGCAAAAAACAACGGTACATCGAAGTGTTCCAGTGTTCTGGTGAAGATATGCATCTGGTGTTGACTGGAGGAGGTGCTGCGTCAGGAGCTTTATCCCCAGTAGCTGCCAAAGCGCTATTATCACCACCTGGTATGTTACCTGCACAGCCTCTAATGACCACCAGCCAGGTGGCTAATCCTGGTACCCCAGTCCCTACCCTAATGCCCGCTTGGGATCCAATGTCCGTTTACGCCCAGAATTTAGCCCAAACCCTAGCCCTCCAGCGTGCGGCTATGGCAGCTGCCCAACAACAACAGCAGCAGCAGCAACAACAGGAATCATGGTTGTATCAACTAGCTCAGCATAATCAATTAATCAATCTTGCTTTACTCACCAAACAGCAACAAGACATGAATGGTGGTATGGCACAACAGCATAATATCCAATCTATATTATCTCCAAACGCAGCTCAACATTTATTGGATAATAGTGCCCAAAATTACATGGCCAAAAGTGCAGCTGCACCATATATGTACTTTAATATGCCACGATTTCCACACAACATGGCAGCTAAGCCTTACGTGCCAGTTTCGGCTGCTGGAGGTCAGTTTGTCATGCCGCCAACTGCGAATTCACCACAGAAACGTTCATGGCAACAAGCATTTCCTGGTGGGCCTGAAAATTCCAATAAACGACAGTTTGCACCGCCATCTGCTTCTGCTGCTGGGCCCATGTTCCCAATGGGACAAGGACCCAACGCAGCTGCGGCTGCAGCCGCAGCAGCTGCCATGGCCGCATCTTCCCCTTATCTACAACACCCTGCACAGTTTTATACCATTTAACTTCTTTCCACCACTCTGTTTTCCCTCCCTCCAATGTTAATTTGCTGTTGTTAGTTTGGTTATTAGAGCTTATAACCGGGTACATGGTTAGTGGTTAATGGTTACACAAAAATTTGTTTTTATTTTTTTAACATTATCCGTCCTCTGGATTATATATTTTTCCATTATATATACATATGTATATATATATATATAAACAAAAAAACAGACTGCACAAAGGGTACTTAAAGCAATTGAGCTTAAATCATTTACAGGGTACTGAATGAATTTTGTAAATTAATTTTTAACTTTTTTTTAAGTTACTTTTAATAGATTTTAAGACTAATTTTAAATTACTAATATGTACTTAAATATTGTTCCCAATTAACTCATGGAATTTATTAGATTATGGACCACTGTCTATGTGACTTAATTCAGTTCACTAAAATCATTTAAAATAATTTCACCAAACATTCCTTAAACTTCAAAAATATTCCATTTTATATAATTTTTAATTTAATATCTTATTATTGTTAGGATTATTTGTTATTTATTTATTTTCGTTTTTCGTCTGTCTTAAAGTTTTATAGGCCCTGTTAACCTATTATTATTTATATTATTATTATTATTATTATTATTATTACTATTATTATTATCATTATTATTATTTTAGTTTTTTCTTGCTTAACTAGGACTAACCTAATGTGTTTAGCTTAAAATCTGTTTTAATCATATCATTTGATAAATTGTAATATCATTAGATTATTACTTACCTTTTTTGTTTTAATTAGTTAATTAGGCACTTTTAGACTTTAGACATTTTTAAGTTAAGTAGTTAAATAATTTTATTTTTTATTTATAACATTAACACCAGTTACGTTTTGTTCAAAAGTCTCAGGCTTTCGCTATTGATAAATTTATTTCTTCTGTATTAATCTGTTTCATACACATTGTGGGATTGTTTTGCGCTTAGATATATTCTATTAAAAGCTTCATGTGGCCCAATCACGTGTATGGTGATTGAAAGGAAAATTATCTATGAAATAGTAAAATCTACAACCATTAATAATAATCAATCTGTCATTGTGGTAAAATGGTTCTGGGGTTAGTACAAGCTTGGTGTTTTTTTTTTTTGCATGATCATTATTTTACTTATATCATTGTTAGCACAATTTTTGTTGTTCTGTTCAAATATTTTATTAAACCAATACATGTTGCTATCATTACAATGTCAAACGTATCGGTTGCATGCTACATTTGACATTTACTGCAACGGACTGTATACAGTTAAAACACTGTTGCATTTGCAATACTACTATAATTTATATTACATTTCTTTTTATAAACAGCCAGTACATTGACGATAACTACTGTTTAATATTTTTATTTTTATGAAATCCTCTACCCTGGAGGTATAATATATTTTTGAAAATCTTTTTATAATCCTATTGTTTTATACTTTTATGACATCTGAACCTAACTTATACATTTGAACAGAACAACTGGACCCTATTCCCTGGATTCAATGACCGTGTGTGCAGAAATAAATTTACTGTAGCGGAACCTTGGGATTTGTGTGCTACTAAATATTTTAATAAATGCTGTATCTAGATAGCGAATATGAAATGTGTACAAATCTTTTATTGACCCGTTTTATTATTTTTTTTAATATGTTACGCATTAATATTAATAATCATAATAATAGACGAATTATTTTTATATAGTAATATAAAATATATCGAAATATTGCCTAACGGAATTTGGTGTTGAAGTCGTATGTTTTATTCTGCTTTTTATCTTATTTATTTGTATACGTTGTTGACACCGAATTGACCCTTTTATACAATTGCAAGGGTGACTAGGAAGATGAACAAAGTTCTATGCAAACTTTGTTTAACGGTTAATGCGGTATTTTTTTCTTAAGTGTGCGTAAAAATTAAAAAATAATATCATTATTATTTATTGCACATACCTACTAAGTATACAAAGTGGTGGTTTATGTCTCTGGATTTCAAAAACCCCACCGGTTGACGGACCCGGGAAAATAAAATATATTGTGCGGGTGTTGGATTTGAACGCTGTTATCTCGTTCTTTGGTGAAAATCTGACGTCTTTGGTTTAGATGATTGATTTCAGTAGAACAAATATTTATGTAACTTTTATAAATAGTGATAGACTAAAAAAAAAAAACAGCTTTCGAATCTAACACACGCATATTGTGCTTCTCGGACCTTTGGGTGGTGTGTATACACGTCCGTATTTTTTATACATATAATCCTCTCCCCCTGTCATAACTGTCAACACGTCCTACACTGTACTCGAGCCAAAACAAAAATTACTAACTATAAATAAACAACGAATGGATTGGTGATAAGAGAATTCTCTGCGGACTTCCGACCCCATACGACACACACACACACACACATATTATTATATATATATTAATATATTATACTTAGGTACTGATGCATGTAGATTAAAAAAAAGACATGGTGGCGAGACGGGTATATATGACGTTTTGACATGTTAAGAAAAAAAAATAGCATTTGCGGGGTGTGATGGTGGTGTTGTGGGTCGTTTGACAACCCTCATAAAATACTATATCGCAACCTATATATATATTACTTGGTGAGAGAGACCTTTGCCCTTGTTTGCTGCCCATCTAATCACTCTATCGTGTGATGACGTGAGGTGAAATGTTATATTATAATTAATATTATTATACCTATAACAACTGTCTGTAGCTTTTTCCAAGCTCCTCTAACAATACCTGGCTACAGGTGGTCGACGTTTGTGGTACCACGGTGCAGGTAGTTGTGCGCAGCGGGTATTTATGGTCATCAGTGGTGCCGAGGTTTTCTTTAAGTCAATATCGCGGAAATAAAAATCCTACACAAAAATAACCTCCCTCTCTTTTTGTAATATTCTTACATGATATATTATGCTTTAAGGGAGAGAGTAAAACCCTCAAAAAAATTATATTGCGCTTTAGACCGGCGCCACTGCATGGCCGAACACCCACCACTACCTCCGATGGATCGCCTACGTGTCACAGTCGTGTTATAAACTGTACTTTTTTTAAGAAAAATATAAACTTAACAAAATACTCGCTTATTCTAATATATATAGAAGTTTCGTCTGGTCATCAAGAATGGACGCGAAAGGTGTGGCGGATCCGCGACTGTATTTGGACGACGGAAAAACGTTCGCTTGAGATACTTTTTTATTTTTTTATTTAGACGTATTTTATCATGGCTTATATTATTTTTTATTTTATTATATTTTTTTCTCATTACAAAACGTATTAGATTTAACTACGGTGTTCACACATGTTGTTGGTAAATAAATTTAGAGCACGGGGCGTATAAAAGCAAAATTTATATATTGGTTGCTGGTGATTGGTGGTGTTAATCTTTCCGGTGAGTCCGTTAAAACTATATAAATAATTTTTAACATAAATTACACCTAATATACAATATAGTTTAAGTATATCATTTTTTTTTTTATTTAAACGCTTATTTCACTTTTCCTTTCGCTTTTAATGTCCGAGGATTACTGACATATTATATTTTATCATCATCATCATCATCGTCCTCCCTAATTCCATTTCCGTGCTTGTAACAACTTACGATTTGTTTTCCTTTTATATTATAATATTATATTACATACTTTCCAAGCTTATTTTATAATAATATTATATATACATCCATCCTTACCGCATACCGGTTAAATAACCCTTAACTATATAATGAATAATATTATAATGCATAAATGATAATTATTTTATACATCCGTTTTTGAATATGTTATGATAATATACTCACGAAAGTCATGCGTTTTTTGCACGCGCAGGCGGACCGCTGATGACTTCTCCGCCGTTCCCGCCGCCGACGTCGAACTACTCGCCGTTCTCCGGGCCGCCGCCGCTGATAGGTCACCAGCCGCCGCCGTCGCTGGGCGCGCCGTACCCGCCGCCAATCCTCTACTGGCCGTACCCGTCGCCACCCATATCGCCGCCGCACCAACAGCCCGCGCTACTCATCATGCAGGGCACACCGCCACCGATGCCGCCCCCGCCGCCCGTGGACATGTGCAATCTCATACACTCCGTGTCCGAGGTAAATCGTAACGAATTATTATTATATCGCGTCTTAAAATAAGTCTTTATACATGGGTAGGTCAAACTCAATATATAGGTACTGTCAATGCGAAAAATAATTTAGACAGGGTGGTTTTTCGAGCGTGCTCGCCCCCGTTTTCCCCTTTGCACAAACAGGAATTTGAATGTATGCATAATTCAAGAATAAAAACCAGGAATGAACGCCCTTAAAAAACCATCCCTTATAAATACCTATTACTTGATATCAGCTGCAGGGAGAGGGGGTTGGACGGTTTGATACTGCGGTGTTTCCGACTTGTTTTATTATAATCTAATCACGCTGTATAAAATCTAAAATATGTGCCTGCTCGCTCCAGATTTGTTACCTCGTCTCCTCGAAAATCTACTATATTGGCTGACGATCTTATATTATTATTATATTAAGGTGCTTATGAAAATATACCCTATTGTACTGGGAATCTCGTATTGTAGGTATTATAAAGATGGGCGAGAGCTATATACTGATATACGAATGGGGTTCTAAATCATTATGTCTGCAGGGAGATGTGCAAATTTGTTGTGACCTGAATGAACAACCTATGTACATTATACAGTGTTGTGTGTTGTTACCAAGCAGTAGTTAATCGGCATTATATCTAAGCTCCAAATATAAAAAATATGAAAGTTTAACTATAAAAAGTGATGTGCCACTCGCCCAATAATATTCATGAATATTTAACCTGTCCATTAATCTTTTACACTTATGCATTATATATATGTATGCAACCAGTCTCTTAGAATTTAGTAGTTTTCTGATGATCTTTAATTTGGAAATATTAACCACACAAAAGTGGGTGGATAATAATAAGTTAAAAGTTTTGACGCTGCACTAAAGCACAAGTTCGGATAAGAACTCTATTGGTTCTGTGTTGTTATTTAAACCTTCATAGGCATGATTCACTAAAACGATTTTAATCATATGATTTCATTTTTTAACTGGCGCATTTGTGGGACACTAAAATACCGAAAGTATTACCATATAAATATACAATACAAATAATAAGTAGGTACTTCATCACAATCAGTGGTCGAAGTGTATAGGGGGTGATACGGTAGGATGGCATCCCTCCACTTTTTATAGCTCACATTTTCCATCCTCTCACTTATTCTGAGCCACTTCAACCACTGGACTGAAGAGTGTCGTCAGTTTCTTAGTAAGAATGTGAAAGTTAGTAAATGTATAAAAAAATACAAATTATTATGGATTTTGATCGAAGTGATAAATATGTTATTTTTTATGAGTATGTGTGAGTGTGTTTTTTGTGTCTGACTTCTTGATGGTATTCTCTGTTAAAAAAACGTATTTGGTTAGTAGGTAGTCGGTACTTCATTGAAAGGTCAGAATCTTAAAAAGACCTATAATAGGTATACCGTATAAGTTTTAACTTCTAATTACATATAAGAACTATTATAACTATTTAATAATTTAACTAAAAAAATTATTTTAGTTAAAATTCTGACTAATCGTGTTTTTTTGTTCGAATCGTTATTTTCAGTGGAACATCGATTACATGCAACAGAATCCTCAATTTTGCACAATGAACGTAGGTATGTTTGTATAGAATATATATATATATTTTTTAGTTGTATATCCGACGCTTATGACAATAGTATGACTGTGATATTTTATAATATAATATCGTCTATGACCGCTTTTCTCATCTCTCAACCGTTAACGAGCGATCGTCTCTGAAGGCTAATCATTAAAACTGACATTTTACAGGTCCGATGGGCATGCACTCGGCTGCGGCTTGACGCGACGCGAAACAACGGTCGGCGCCAACCGACGTGCAACCGTCATCGTCACAACAACGCCGTTGCCGCCGATGATCGGACTACGTACGTCTACTCGTCTAATTCAAAGTCACAATAATTGTGCAAAGTACAAACGGCCGCGTACTTAACGTGTTTATAACATATAAATAGTAATGTTTGTATTTATTTATTTATACCTATATAATATTGATATGTTATATAGATCGAGAGATATTTCTATTAGATTTAAGACTGTATATATACTTAGACTTAGACGGAAAAATTAGTATACATAATATTATTATTATCTAATTAGTTGAAAAAAAAACTCAACCTTAGAAAGCTCAGCCAACAAATATCATATAGTCGTCTTCCACCGCGCGTATTAAAGACAAAAGAGATAGTACCTAATCCTCGTTAATTATTGTTGGTCACCACGTGTACATAACAATACAATATAATAAATACATATTGTACATGTATTATCATATTGAAGTTTGTAAGTCGAATAATGTAATGTCTATGTTTTGTGTGAATTATTATATCGTATGTTTTCAATGTGATTTTTATTATTTTTACCAATTTAGTATTCTTTTTACGAATTTCACTCGTTTGATGATTTTGTTTTATAATATTCAATTCTAAAATGACTCGATAGGTATATTCTTCCCGTTTTATCTGCAAATATATTATACATGGTGAATTTTCTTAACACATGACACATCTCAATACAATGTGTAGGTACTTACTTATAATATTTTCATAGATTTTTAATTTTTCCGAATGGCAATAACCCATATTTTTTATTTCATGTTCTGAAAATGACAGAATACGAAATTCAAAATACGGGTCTAAAATTTAAAAAATATATGAAAATAATATTTTTATCACACATTCGTGGAGTTATTACGGTACCTACTTAAAATTACACCAATTGACTGCGAAAAGCCGTATATAATATGAGCGTCTTAAGTTAAAAAAGTTCACTTTGTATGACGAGTGTATATAATAAATATTAAGTACTACACATAACAATTTAATTATGACTATGGTGTGTGTACGTTGTTCTTATAAATGTCATTAATGTCATTTTATAATTTGACGCACATTACAATACAACTCTCGCACATTTCTTAGATTATTTAATATAATATTATTATGATTATAATACAATATCGATGCGATCGAAATATCGTAATAACGGTTTATTAAAAAATTATTCCGTATGTTATACTTCGTCGCGTTTTCTTTTTATTATCATATAACAAGCAACGGTTTTTGAAAATATTTTTTTCGATTTTATGCCCTCGCATTGTCTCGTTAGTCAAGTCCTATAAAACGACCAAATTTGTTTATTAGTATTATTATTATTTTTTTTTTTTGTAGGAATTAGTGAGATTAATTTATTATATCTGCATATGTTTCATTAACTGCTGTTGAGTGCGTATAAAAGAAATACTTATACAAATTTTAACTTATAAACGATAACGGGTGCTAAGCTGCCAAAGTTATCATGTTATATCTAGGTACCAGCTATAATAATATAATGTTAGTTTTTGAATCTATTTTTGTTTAAAATTTTAACATTCGGTTGTACGATCTCTAGTATTCTTTATGCTCGACAAAACATAACGAAAACAATATTTATATGATATTTTTTTTTAAACATTTTAATGTTTTGTGCAATTTAATTTAATTTTGTTTATTTCCAAGTAGATCTCAAAAAAGTAGATGTTTTGACAATTTTTTAATTAAATTTATCTCGAACGTATATTTTATACTTTGGTCCTCCTCCGGATGAACGAATTTTCAACACAATACATTTTCCTCGGCCAACGTACGGCCATCCGTCTTAATATTATAATAAAAACAACTATTACGATTGCATTCTATATAGTAGTTTCGTATTTTCGTAATTATCGTATTCCCCATCTCCGCACCGTCACGGCCGCACAATATTATAGGTATTATATAATATAAAATAATATAATGTACATCGACAATGTTCCAAAAATATGTATACGGTTTTTTTTATAATTTTCATAATCATTATTGTTAATATATATTAAAATATAAAATATAATTTTATGAAGCGTGACAAGTCTTCGCCCCAGACAGTCATTTTAAAGCGAAACAGTTCAACTCGTCGTTATAATATAAGTGTCATCAGCTAGTACTAGGCCTTTACTTATAACATTATGTACAGTTATAAGTCTCGTGTTAATCTTCTAATGTGTATATATATATATATATATGTTATGTATGTATTAGTATACATAGGTTTTAGACTTTCAGTTGGCCGAAATAAATATACGAATAATATAATATAAAACACCCACATATAGACGCATGTCGCAATAAATTAGCCAAAAAATAGATGGAATATGCGCGTATGATAATATAATAAGACCCTGCATATCTATATCGTTAAATCTCAATCGTAAAATAATAATATCCGCCTAAAGTCTTCGCCGTTATTGCATTTTTTTAAATGTTTTATTTGTAACATCTAATTGTTGAAGAACATGTCAATTACCTACCGAAAAACAATCGCGATTCCGATGACTAATGTTTTGTATTCGGGCCATTTGGCTTCTATAAATTCCTGTTGCCAATCGAAGCAATACTCGATTTTTCGTTGTATAATGTTTTGTATAGTTAAATATTATACTTTGATATGTAATAATATAACTTTGTCCGTTGAACAATGCATACGAGATGTCAAGTAATGTGTCTCGTCGCGTCCGTCTTTCCAGTTAGATCGCAACAGTCGCTTAAACATGTTACTACTATAATATGGTAATCGATTGTTATTATTACTACCCTTCGCTCATATACTCATAGTGTGTGGTCTGTAAGTTACTACCTATTTTATTGCTCGATGTCTCTCTGACTTTGAAATTCAATTTCGCGCAGTCACATAATAATATATAGGGTAGGTAGGTCACCTACAGATATTATTATAATATTAAATTATACTTATGTTTCAAATTCGTTCGATTAGATGTATATGATTAAGAATAAATAGACCAAAATAATATATGCTGCTATCTGTGTTTTTGTAGTGCAATAATATATAATAATCGTTGAATATAATATAATATATACTCGTGTTGTTAATTAATTATACATTATTACTATTTTTACGTTATAGTTATAGTGTTAAAAAATTAAATTTTATATAAATTAAATGTGTGTGTGTGCGTGTGAAAACAGTGTTTAATTATTTTGTAACCTAGAAAATGTGTTTCACTTCACATATTTTAAAGTCTACTTATTATCTGGTATAGTGCGTAGTTTTTTTTATGGTTGACCGTAGATCAACCCCTTTGTATTTTAGTCGTCTCCAGTCCCTTTTAGTCAATTATATTATATCATTATTATTATTATTATTATGTACATGAAAAATAAGTGTACGTACATATAATATGTTTTTTTAGTTAATTATTATATTTTCAATTTTATTATTATAATTATTATTATTAATACCTACCTAATTGTACACCTAATCGCCGTATAGTACCAGTACTTGTATGACATTATTAATATTAAATTTTGTTTTAATTTAAATACAATATATATTAATATAGACCTTTGAAAAATATATTTCATGTGTGTTTTATATCTTTAAAACTTCGAGCCTTATATTCCATTTTTGGTCACGACTCGACGATAACATCACCTGCAATATGATATCATAACACAAATGGATACATAGTGCCTACTCCTTAGTGGTGTGTATTCTTCTTATAAAAATTGGACTTTTCATTATAATTTTACTATTTTGAATTAAACAGTAATCCCTACTGTATAATACCAGCTGCAGCAGTCTTATTGCAACTATAGGTAAGTACTTACTACTTACTGATAACAACCATCGGAATTTTACGGATCGTCTACAGTAAACCAAGACATATTTTGTTTTTTGGTATAAAAAATTTATGAAATTTCCATATTACACCCTAAAGCGTTGGTGACGGTGACTTGCGTCCATCAACCGCCGACGGTGTGGCCGCGCAGTCCACACTTGAAGACGATTGTCTGTTGTCGTCGTCGCCGTCGTCACTACTGCAGTTGACCTGCTCGATCTCCGAGTACTCGGCCATCAGCGATTCTATATGTTCGAGCGCGACTCGGAACTCGTCGGAATCCATCCCCTCTTCGACGTACAGGTGCAACAGCTCCCGCTTGGCCAACATAGACGCGGACCGCCGGTAGTACCTTTCGAACACGTCCCTCGCCGCCGTCGTGTTGGCCACCACCGTGCCGCTGTTCTTGAGTCCATGAGACGGTACACCGTAACTGGCGGTCTTGATGTTGTCGGGTAGCCAACAACGTTCTGGATCCGTGGTCCGTCCCGTGGCCGGCTGTTGTGGTACGTCGTCACTGTGAGGTTCGTTCACTAAGCTTCTGCCCCGGAACGTCATGACGGCGGCCATCACGATGGCCGGGACGGTACCGGCGCCCATGCAACGCCGCTGCAACCGCACCGCTTCGAACAACTGAGTGGCTAGCTCGGGAACGGTGTACGCGCACGCGTCCGTTTGCCCGCGGAACGTGAGCGGTGCGAATCCCGGCACAAAAAAGTGCAGTTTCGGGTACGGCACTAGATTGGCGGTGCACTTTTTCATGTCGGCGTTCAGCCGGCCGGCGAATCGGAGCCCGGTCGTGGCGCCAGACATGATCTGCGAAACCAGGTGGTTGAGATCCGCGTACGCAGGGGCAGCGGATGCACCCCCGCCGCCACTGGTACCACCGCAGCACGCGTCAAACAGCGCCCGGTTGTCTGCTAGATACGTCGCTTGCGCGCTGCCGATTAGCCTGGCCGCGGACAGCAACGCATTGTACGACTCGGCGGGCTCGTCCGACACTGCTGTCCACGGCGCCACACTGTACGTGTGAGCCGCTCGGTTCGGGTACGACACTCGGATGTTGTTCAGTACGCGTCCACCCAGACCGGAACCAGTGCCGCCGCCCAGCGAGTGCACCAACTGGAACCCTTGGAGCCGATCGCACCGCTCCGCTTCCGACTGAACCGCGTCCGCGACGCGTCTCGACATCTCGCCGCCACCGTAATAGCCCCTGACCCAGTTGCTTCCGGTTCCGCCATGCCCGCCGATGAAATTTTCCTTCCTGTACACGTTACCGCCACACTGCCGCCCGCCGATCGTGTTTAACAACGTCGAATCGGAGTCCACGAGCACCGCTCGAGGCACGTACACTCCACCTACACCGTCCAATAAAACATTAATTTTAAAACAAGACTTACTCAGCCTTACAGATACAGAAGAGTCAGTGTCCACATCAATAATAAATATACATATAAATTGGTGGTTGGCATAACTTGAGGTGGAATATAAATAATATAGGGGATGATTATGCTGTAACTATTAGAAAACCGTTTTTCAGGCAAAGGTACAGGTTTAAAAGACTTGACGTGTCAACCAGACCCATTTGTCTAGTCATTGGTAGTACCGACGACGCGTAAACTTAATACAAATTATTTTCATTGAAATATAGAATCGTTTATTGATATCTATAGGTGACACCAAGACAATTATTTCCGTTATAAGTACCTTCCATTATATTTTTTATTTTTTTGTCTCATTAAATAATTTATGTAAGTTATTAGGTAGGGTGATTCTATTAACAGTGAACACTCATTTTTCTTCGATTAATATTTTTAAGTATTAAAAAATAATTTTATATCACTTCAAAAGTTCAAAATCTTAATATTAAAAAAAGGTACTATGTCTATGCTAACTATTATGATGAACGAATGGCTGTAAATAGTTTAAATTTTCACCAAATGTTTATATCACCATTTTTTATTAAGTATAAAATGTGTTGATTTTTATCTTATACAGGCACCATTCTAGGATTAAATTTGTATTTTTTTAGTTTTTTTTCAATTAGGTATTGTCGATAAACAATTTCCTTCTTGATCAAAAAACTTGAAAGTTTAGTACAAGGTTACTCATACGTTATAAATAGTAAGTTGAGCATAAATTCAGAAAAATATTTTCGACATCTCTAAAATGTGCAAATTATCTAGTGATTAGAAATTCATAAGTAATTATATTTCCATATCTAACATTTTAAAATGTAATACTTGGAGACATTCTTAAATTTGTCTATCTAACCATTGTTGGCCATATAGGTATGTGTGATTTATCTTGTAACGTAATTTCAGACATTTTTTAATAAAGTAGGAATATAGCCAATGTCCGTATTAATTATTAATACTGCGCGCTGCAGCACATTATACAATTTAAAAATTTCTATAAGAAAACAGAAAACCAAAAAAAAGATATTTCGATATTCTTAGAAAAATGAGTAGTTCATTCCTATTGAATGTCATAATATTATAGTAATCAGCAGCAGGCATGTCGCACGTAAAATGCGATTCAATATTCTTTGAAAATTCAACAGTCGTAAACAATCTGTATATTAGCTATATTGGCTCCAATGGTATTGGTATTAAATTCCATATACAAGTGAATATATTATGTACAGTATGTTTACCTTTGGATTCATCGTAATACACATGTATGCGCTCCAACCGTTCATCGGTGGAATAACCGACAAATTTACCTTGCTCGTCAAGTCCATGTTCGTTAGATATGGTTTTCCAAAACTATAAAAGTGTATAACAATGTCATTAGAAATATAACAGCAGATCGATTATTTAAAGACGACCGGCAACTATGTCGATATAAAAACAACGGTTTTAGTAGGTAAAACTCGAAATTATCGAATCACATATAATATGTACTATTATTATACATTTATACCTACCCATAGGTTGGTTATTGGCTAGTAAGCAGTGGTGGATTTAGGATTTTTACGGTAGGTGTAATGTTGATAATTATTAATAGAGCTCCTAAGGTACTTATCATGAACAACACAACTTCAGGGTAAAAACAAATTTATAAATTAACAATTAATACGTGATACCTTAAATCTAAGTAACTTGTTAATACAACAAAAGTTTTATTAGTTTGGTATTATATGTGCTAATATTGAAATATCTTCATGCAATTATTATTAAATCATCTTTATTGGTATATTTCAAGTTGCAGTAGGTATACCTAGGTCTATTTATACTGATAGACGTATAATTTGTATTGTTAGTACTGGGTGAGGTTAATAGACTGTATGATAATATCAAAACAACTGGATTAATTTGTCTGTGATAAGAGGATAAGAGGACTACTATTTTTAATAAATCAATGCTCAAGTAATAATAATAATGGTAATGAAAACACACGGAGACTGGCCATCCAAACTAGGGTATGCACGTTAGGCTGACGACAAATATAATGAAACGACAAAAAAATGTGTAGAATAACGGGCGTTTGTAAATTGCGCCCACATTAAATAGGTAGTAAAAATACTATAGTAAATTGCGCCCGGGATTTTTCGGGGTCTAAAATGGGTATAGTAAATTGCGCCCATAGTATCTACTATCTTGAATTCATCGTTACCTATATTATGTGTATTTTAAAAATACTGTTGTTCATTTATTGGTGGATAAGCCGAACGTTTATCGCTATAATCGATATGATATTAGCGATATCAATGCCTTTACGCGTATACAACGACTTTACGTACAGCCCGTATAGGTAATATTTTAGTAAGCCGTTTGCACGCAACAGTTAAACATGGATATTATACATACTGAAAGCCAGAAAGAAAACGACGTTATAATATACCAAACATTTAAATTTTCGAAATTAAAACGCGAGTTGTCTTCGGGCGAAACAAAGTGGCGATGTGCTGTAAAAACGTGTAATGCATTTTTGAAAACTGTTGGAGAAAAAAATAATATGACAATAACTGAAAAAAATGTGGAACACCGTCATAAAATAGATTTATTAAAATTACAACGACAAATTGTGTCCGCTAGTGCAAAGCGAAAAGCAACCGAAGATATCTGTGAAAGACCAGCGAAAATACTTCATAGCATAGCAACAGTTCAAGATACGAGCTTAATCAAGGTTAGTGATGTTAAATATATTAAAAGAAATATGTATAATGCAAGAAGAAAGTTACTACCTCCATTACCAATTTCAACTCAATCTGTTCAGGAAGCTTTAAACTCTATGCAATACAAAAGCTCGAAAGGAGAGGATATGCTTCTGTATAATGATTTTAATAGTGAACTCGTAATCATATGTTGTAAATCAAATTTAGAAATATTGTGTAAATCAGAAATGTTATATGTAGATGGTACATTTGAGTATTGTGCCAAACACTTCCTTCAACTATTTAGTGTTCATGGATATTTTAACGGGCACTATATACCATTGGTGTTTGGTTTATTGAAAAATAAATCTACTAACACTTATAAAAAATTTTTTCAAACATTGAACGAAAAATGTACTGAAAACGGGTATATTTTGAAACCCAAATCTATGGTTATTGACTTTGAAAAAGCTATTCATTTTGCTTGCCTAAACGTTTGGCCTGAAGTCGTAATTATAGGATGTCGATTTCACTTAACACAGGCCTGGTGGAGACGAATTCAAAAAGTTGGTTTAAGTTCAGAGTATAAATCAAACGGATCTATTATTAGAGAATGGTTATTACATGTGTTTGGAATGGTATTTTTAGAGCCAGAAAATGTTTGCGATTATTTCAATTATGAATTAATGCCTACAATGCCTGAAGATGATCGACTTAGACAATTTTCTTGCTATATTTTAAATACATATATTTTATTCGCTGACTTTCCTCCGAATATTTGGGCATCAGCTTCCGCAACATTAACTCGGTCAACTAATGCCTGTGAATCTTTCCACAGTCATTTTAACAAAAGCTTTTATACACCTCATCCTCATATATATAATTTTATGGATAAAATATTAGAGATACAATCAGAAATTTATGTAAAAATGAATAGTATAAATGAACCTTATAAATTTCAAAACACTAAATCAAAAAAAAAATTTAAAAAAATGGAAAAAATTGTTCAACAATACAATGAAAAAACTATTACGAGGGCTGAATACGTGAAGATGATGTCGCATTACTATGCAGATAACTTATTATAACTTTTTTATTATTATTATTATTAACATTTTTAACCAAAAAAAAAATATTTTATCAATTATAATTATAATTATTAACATTTTTAACCAAAAAAAAAATATTTTATCAACTATAATTAATACCGTAATATTTAAAAAAAAAAAAATAATTTTCCTATTTTTATTAATTCCTATTTTTTTTTTTTTAATTTACTCATTTCAAGTAAACCAAAAAAAAACATTTTTGGAGGACAGTGATAGTCGCCTCCTCGTGGTGTCCTCTGGGTAATGCTAAATGACAATCATAAAAATAATACTTCTATAGGGCGCAAATTTGTACCTGATAAATACCGGGCGCAATTTACTACACAAAAATTTATACCTGAAAAATAGCGGGCGCAATTTACAACTATTTCCTTTCGTTGGGCGCAATTTACGTTTGCCCAGAATAACAATAGCGAATGGAGACCCTGAGGTGGTACACTGCAATGACCGAAAGAGTGCCTATCGAGGTGACAACGAACTCAAGACGGCAGTGGATGGGTGACCGCAGTGACGGTGCACGATAGGGAAATACAGCGAAACGAAGAAATAAACAGTGTTTGAACGACGTCCGTATAAAGGTAGCCATGAAAGTACCTACCTATATTAACATTGAGTAGCTATGATAAAGATTTAGGTGTAAAGTAGTATTGTACCGAAGTGTACCCAGTATAATCGTACCTTAGAATATCTAATGGTTCCGGGACATTGGCGGTCGGCTTTTTTTCGTGCCATTTGCGGTAAATTTATTTCTATTTACCCGACTATGCAATTTAAGATGCTATTTATAATATTATATTATATTCTAAATATATATTATATTATGAAAATGTGTTTAAAAAGTTTATTAATATTATTTATACCGGATAAACCGATTTGTGATACAGCCATTTTGTTGATTATGCATATTCGATGTCCTAATCGATAAGGTAATAACGTCTGATATATTTATTATTATTCAAAAACATCGTCGGTATTATTTATTCAGTTTTTAGAATTGTATGCGCATTGGTAGTATTTGGTACAGTTCTATCTGTCAGTTATTACAGTGTTTTAGTGTCAAAATTTAAATTTAAACATATTAAAAATTAAAATATATTATTATATGAGTTATTTATAATAATAATAATAAGCTTTTAAAAGTAAAAAATACTGTCAGTCCTAAGCCTCAAAGAGTGTGAAGGGAAGTTAAAATGTAATTAAATAGTAAATATATACATATTGGCACAAATTAGGTTCACTACAATACATTTATATATCTAATATATAAAATTCTCGTGTCACAGTTTTCGTTGCCATACTCCTCCGAAACGGCTTGACCGATTTTGATGAAATTTTTTGTGCTTATCCGGTATCTATGAGAATCGGCCAACATCTATTTTTCATCCCCCTAAATGTTAGGGGTTGTCCACCCCTAAATTTTTTTTTTTATTTTTTAGACAAAATTTTTAATTTCTATTTTTTTATGATACAACATACAAAAATACATACAATCCTCAATTTTCACCCTTCTACGATCAACCCTTATTTTTTAATAGCCATTTTAGTAATTTAATCATTTTTCCTCTCCGGTCGAAAACTGATGTATCGTCATTTAATTAGTTATCCCCGCCAGATGTCTACAGGTGTCACTTCTGACCGAGTAAACAGCACGGAGTAGGGATGAGAACGAAGCCGGTCTCCTTTCTTTCTCACTCCCTACACAGTTGTCGGCCATCATTATTGTTTATGCATCAAGTGTAGTAGTAACGTTGACAATTATTATTTTATAATAATTGTTATTATTATTTTATTATTATTATTATTATTATTTATTTATTATTTTTTTATTATTATTATTATTTTTTTTATTTTTTTTCCATAAAACTTATATGTTTGCCTTTTGTTATTTTTATATTCCCTCATCGTTCACAGCGCTCCATGCTTATTTCACGCATATACCACATTCTTACATACATACAATATACACATTCTAACATACATACATACTTACAATAAGTAAGCTATTTTTTGTCTACACTAGAAATTACTAGGAAATTATTTATATGGCAAAACAACGTTTGCCGGGTCAGCTAGTATTATATATAGGATCCAAATTTTATAGTCAGGTAAATAGAAATAAATTGACCCCAAATGGCACAAAAAAGATGCCGACCTCAAATGTCCTGACCGCATCGGTGCTGACACCAATCTAATATAGCAAAATGTGTCAACATTTTAAGGACCTCTGGAAGAAATCTGAAGTTCTAACCTTACCTTGATTTAAACAATTAAAAATAATATTATTTTGTTGTATAAATATATAATAGGCAGTCATCATTACAGTAGATTTAGGGGGATTACTAACCGATCCATCGAGGTTTAGGTTAAATATTATGTAAGTAGGTACTATTATAATAAAAATGTATTATTACGGGTGTCAAAAATTATTAGTGGCACTTATCAGACCAGGGGTCACCAATGATGGGGGCCCTCGCACAGATTGTATTTATCCGGCCCCGCAGACGAGAAAAAAAGTAAAATTCGTTAATATGATACCTACATTCTATATAGACACCCGGTGTTGTAATTTATCTTTTTTTTTGTTTGTTGCTTTTTACCGCCATCTGCAATTTTGATTGCTCGCAAACAATTTTCAGATTTCTAATGATGTAGCTGTAGCCCTTCAAAAATATGAATTGGTAACCTTTGTTCTAGACGAAAAAACGGAAAAAAACGAACAACCAAAAAAGAACAATTTTAATTAATTTAATAAATTTAATAAATTTAATTAATTTAATTTTAACAATTTTTATTTAACAAGTGTTAAATATCAATATATGCATTTTTATGCTCAAAAATGTCATATGTGCAAAAATATGCAAAAAAGTTTGTTTGTTTGTAATATAGGCTTTTATAAATCAAATTGATATCACATTTCCGTGTAATTCTGGCTGGGTGAAAAAAATATGCTAATTTATAAACATCCGAGCCCTAGTAGTTATAGTGTGCAAAGTATCACTTACTAGTTACTACGCAAACATTTACACAGCCTGCATGCATATAAAAACTGCCTATATTAAACTCTTTAAAAACGATCGGTACCATTTCCTTTAAGAAAAATATACATATATTTATTTTAATATTTATAAATATTGAAATGTAAAAAATGTATTTCTTTTGAAAATGCTTGTTGTTTAATTTCACAAAATTATATGAAAAAATAGAAAAAAATATATCTTTCATTCTTCATTTTTATATAATAATTGTAATATTTTTGTTGATTAATATATTTTAATGCGCGCAGTAAGTGATCACTTTTTAGTTTTTACACACTAATTACAAATGTATGGATTTTTTTAATTTTCATAATTAATTAATATTATATTTAAAATTTTTAAAAAT